AAAGCAAGTGCTATGTAATGACGCAGTACAATACCGTAAAATTGACTGTATTATACTGTAAAAAAAAAAGTAAATGCTATCGTAATCGTAATGAATGGATGAATGAAATCCATTGAGGGGAGGGGTTTGTATTTCACAGTAATTTTCTGTCAATACAAGGGATTGGTGCAAGCAGGTTGGCTCCTAGGTAAAGTGTTTACAAATTACAGTATATTATTTAATTTTAGGTGTTTTATATCACTAGCACTTCTAGAGGCCTTAAGAACAGCTTCCAAACTGCAGCGACTACAGAGCTAAATAGACCAAAAGGACATTGAAAAATGCTCAAACCATTACTGTTTAAGACTTGCTGCCACTCCAATCTGTCCCCTAAACTAATAGATGGGGTGCTATAACCACATAGGCGTTAAATTGGTACAGCATTCTCACTCACGGGTGCAACAAATATAGCCTCTTACAAGGCACGCCTCCAAATATGTTAATGAGCCAGAAACAACATTACCATGCACCCACTAGTGTTCAAAAGGTTTTTGCAATAGTCTAGGTAGCCATTTGATTAGATGTTCAGGAGTCTTATGGCTTGGGGGTAGAAGCTGTTTAGAAGCATCTTGGACCTAGACTTGGCACTCCGGTACCGCTTGCCGTGCGGTAGCAGAGAGAACAGTCTATGACTAGGGTGGCTGGAGTCTTTGACAATTTTTAGGGCCTTCCTCTGACACTGCCTGGTATAGAGGTCCTGGATGGCAGGAAGCTTGGCCCCAGTGATGTACTGGGCCGTACGCACTACCCTCTGTAGTGCCTTGCGGTCAGAGGCCGAGCAGTTGCCATACCAGGCAGTGATGCAACCAGTCAGGATGCCCTCGATGGTGCAGCTGTAGAACCTTTTGAGGATCTGAGGACCCATGCCAAATCTTTTCAGTCTCCTTAGGGGGAATAGGTTTTGTCGTGCCCTCTTCACGACTGTCTTGGTGTGCTTGGACCATGTTAGTTTGTTGGTGATGTGGACACCAAGGAACTTGAAACTCTCAACCTGCTCCACTACAGCCCCGTCGATGAGAATGGGGGCGTGCTCAGTCATTTTCTTTTTCCTGTAGTCCACAATCATCTCCTTGTCTTGATCACGTTGAGGGAGAGGTTGTTGTCCTGGCACCACACGGCTAGGTCTCTGACCTCCTCCCTATAGGCTATCTTGTTGTTGTCGGTGATCAGGCAAACTTAATGACGGTGTTGGAGTTGTGCCTGGCCATGCAGTCATGAGTGAACAGGAGGGGACTGAGCATGAACCCCTGAGGGGCCCCCGTGTTGAGGATCAGCGTGGCGGATGTGTTGTTACCTACCCTTACCACCTTGGGGCGGCCCGTCAGGAAGTCCAGGATCCAGTTGCAGAGGGAGGTGTTTAGTCCCAGGGTCCTTAGCTTAGTGATGAGCTTTGAGGGCACTGTGGTGTTGAACGCTGAGCTGTAGTCAATGAATAGCATTCTCACATAGGTGTTCCTTTTGTCCAGGTGTGAAAGGGCAGTGTGGAGTGCAATAGAGATTGCATCATCTGTGGATCTGTTGGGGCGGTATGCAAATTGGAGTGGGTCTAGGGTTTCTGGGATAATGGTGTTGATGTGAGCCACTTCATGGCTACAGACGTGAGTGCTACGGGTCGGTAGTCATTTAGGCTGGTTACCTTAGTGTTCTTGGGCACAGGGACTATGGTGGTCTGCTTGAAACATGTTCGTATTACAGACTCAGACAGGGACACACTGCCAGGTCTCTGACCTCCTCCATATAGGCTCTCATTGTAAGAGGACATGCTCACTGTTGATGGAAGCGCATCATTGCTACTAAAACACCTGCAGCTATCAGGAAACATGAAGGTCTGTTTGTTTCTGAAGTTCCATTGAACAACTTTCACTGGTCATGATATATGGTGAATTTGGCATTTCAGTTGATTTATGTCCAATTGCTGTATCATTGTTTTATTACCAATACATTGGCAACATTTATAAAGGGTCTATAAATTGTTTATAAATGGTTAAATATCAGTTTATAGATAGTTTATATAAATCTGTTAGAAAGTATTACTAATAATTTGTAATAACACAGTAGTTGAAATTGTGTGATTGTTGCTTTGGTCCTTGCCAAAATGTGTAATAATTGCATGACTGTAGTGTTTTAGTGTTTTTATTCTTACTGTAAAGTATTTTGAAATGTAAAACTGCAAAGTTTACTGTATTCTGAGATAATTTAGACATATTTTACACTCCCTATGGTGTACCACAGCTGTTGGATAGCGCAAACAACCTGGCCATGCCATGTGCCTTACCACCTTGGGGCGGCCCGTCAGGAAGTCCAGGATCCAGTTGCAGAGGGAGGTGTTTAGTCCCAGGGTCCTTAGCTTAGTGATGAGCTTTGAGGGCACTGTGGTGTTGAACGCTGAGCTGTAGTCAATGAATAGCATTCTCACATAGGTGTTCCTTTTGTCCAGGTGTGAAAGGGCAGTGTGGAGTGCAATAGAGATTGCATCATCTGTGGATCTGTTGGGGCGGTATGCAAATTGGAGTGGGTCTAGGGTTTCTGGGATAATGGTGTTGATGTGAGCCACTTCATGGCTACAGACGTGAGTGCTACGGGTCGGTAGTCATTTAGGCTGGTTACCTTAGTGTTCTTGGGCACAGGGACTATGGTGGTCTGCTTGAAACATGTTCGTATTACAGACTCAGACAGGGAGAGGTTGAAAATGTCAGTGAAGACACTTGCCAGTTGGTCAGCGCATGTCCTGGTAATCCTTCTGGCCCTGCGGCCTTGTGAATGTTGACCTGTTTAAAGGTCTTACTCACATCGGCTATAGAGAGCGTGATCACACAGTCGTCCAGAACAGCTGATGCTCTCATGCATGTTTCAGTGTTACTTGCCTCGAAGCGAGCATAGAAGAAATGTAGCTTGTCAGGTAGGCTCATGCCACTGGGCAGCTCGCGGCTGTGCTTCCCTTTGTAGTCTGTAATTGTTTGCAAGCCCTGCCACATCCGACGAGTGTCGGAGCCGGTGTAGTACGATTCGATCTTAGTCCTGCATTGACGCTTTGCCTGTTTGATGGTTCGTTGGAGGGCATAGCAGGGATTTCTTATAAGCTTCCAGGTTAGAGTCCCGCTCCTTGAAAGCGGCAGCTCTACCCTTTAGCTCAGTGCGGATGTTGCCTGTAATCCATGGCTTCTGGTTGGGGTATGTACGTACAGTCACTGTGGGGACGACTTCATCGATGCACATATTGATGAAGCCAGTGACTGATGTGGTGTACTCCTCACTGCCATCGGAAGAATTCCGGAACGTATTCCAGTCTGTGCTATCAAAACAGTCCTGTAGCTTCATCTGACCACTTTTTTATTGACCAAGTCACTGGTGCTTCCTGCTTTAGTCTTTGCTTGTAAGCAGGAATCAGGAGGATATAATTATGGTCAGATTTGCCAAATGAAGGGCGAGGGAGAGCTTTGTACGCATCTCTGTGTGTGGAGTAAAGGTGATCTAGAGGTTTTTTCCTTCTGGTTGCACATTTAACATGCTGGTAGAAATGAGGTAAAATGGGTTTAAGTTTCCCTGCATTAAAGACCCCGGCCACTAAGAGCGCCACTTCTGGATGAGCGTTTTCCTGTTTGCTAATGGCCGTATACAGTTCATTGAGTGCAGTCTTAGTGCCATCATCGGTTTGTGGTGGTAAATAGACAGCTATGAAGAATATAGATGAAAACTCTTGGTAAATAGTATGGTCTACAGCTTATCATGAGATACTCTACCTCAGGCGAGCAAAACCTCGAGACTTCCTTAGATATCGTGCACCAGTTGTTGTTTACAAATATACAAAGATCGCCACCCCTTGTCTTACCAGAGGCTGCTGTTCTATCCTGCCGATACAGTGAATAACCCGCCAGATGTATGTTATTCATGTTTCGTTCAGCCACGACTCGGTGAAACATAAGATATTACAGTTTTTAATGTCCCGTTGGTAGGATATACGTGCTTGTAGTTCGTCCACTTTATTATCAAGCAATTGTAAATTGGCCAGTAGTATCGATGGCAAAGGCAGATTAGCTACTCGTCGCCGGCTCCTTACCAAGCACCCTGATCTCCTTCCACGATATCTCCTTTTCTTTCTACTGCGAATAACGGGGATGAGGGCCCTGTTGGGTGTCTGGAGCAAATCCCTCTCGTCCGACTCAGTATTTTATTGTGGATAATACCCTAACATTTCTATATCATTTACAGTTTTCCGTTACAGTGTAGATCTTATCTTTACCGGGTGGGGGGTCCCTGTAGGAGTAATGATGGGGGGTTATTGGTTGAATGGCTCTATTGTGTGGTAGATCATCAGCCCCTGTTGTAGCAGGTCGCCTTAAAGGCCACTATGCAAACTACGTAAACGCAGCGACGGAGCGTCGTTTTCTACGTCGTTCTACGTACTTTTGTGCGGCTCAAATTTTGGAACGGACTGTATACGATGCTCTGTGGCTCTGTTTGCGTAGAGTGTGTAGGGTCCTATATACCTGTTTGAACAGAGTAAAGAAGAAAGCACTTTTAATCTCTTAACAGTGTTAAGGAAGCCAGCAGGGAGAGAGAGATCAGGGTTAGGATGTGCCAGGATGTCGGGTGAATGAGACAGTGGCATAAACAGGCTAATACCAGCATGTAGTAGACTAAAGACTCAGCAGTAGTAGGGAATGAGACAGTGGCACAGTCAGGCTAATACCAGCATGGTGTAGACTTACAGTACTAGGGTAACATTATAGTAATTTCACACACACTGCCAGTAGTTATTACATACATTGTTACAGTTTAGCTTTTCTCTCTCTCAATTACACGCGCACACGCACGCACACACACACACACACACACAAACACACACACAAACACACACACAAACACACAATATCTTTCTTAGGGAAATAACATTGAGTGATCAGTTAGGAGTTTAAGAGAAGAAGAACAAATATTTAACATTGTTTGTATATTTTCAGCAGGTCAATATGCCTCCCACGACACCGTACGCTGGCAAGTTCAGCCCCAGCCCTTACAACAACAACATCAATCTCAACAAATACCACCAGCCCATGGAAGTGAGCTACGGGGACATGTGCTACCATGACAACAGTCTTGTTTCTGGCTCCCTGGAGGCCCTAATACAACACTTAGTTCCCACAGTGGACTACTACCCTGACGTGAGTGCTATCTCTGGAACAACAACAACATAAAACATGAGCAATGGAATCATACCAACATATTTGGGGTTATGATAGGGTAAAGACAGTTAGGCTCATAAGGCATTATAAGTTATATTCTTCAAGAACATGATGTTAGTGATGTTATCTCTGGTCCAAATGACAACAATCAAAAACATAAACAATGGACTTTTACAACCTGTTGTTATGCCAAATAGAATACAGCTATATTTTGTGTTGTGTGTACTAACAAAGTCCATAAAGCATCCATAAGTTATGTTCTTCAAGGAAAAATGGGTAGACTATGTACAGTATATTATTAACAGAAGTGACCACTGAATAGCAGGAAATGTGCCAGATTATACTGGGTTTATGCTGGGTTGATGCTGGGATGATGCTGGGTTGATGCTGGGTTTATGCTGGGTTGATGCTGGGTTGATGCTGGGTTGATGCTGGGTTTATGCTGGGTTTATGCTGGGTTGATGCTGGGTTTATGCTGGGTTTATGTTGGGTTGATGCTGGGTTTATGCTGGGTTTATGCTGGGTTTATGCTGGGTTGATGCTGGGTTGATGCTGGGTTGATGACAACATGAGTTGTTGTTGATTATCTTTTTTCTTGTTCTCCATCAGAGGTCGTACGTCTTCACCTTCCTGCTGAGTTCCCGTCTCTTCCTCCACCCCTATGAGCTCATGTCTCGGCTTTGTCACCTGTGTGTGGAGCAGCATCGATCTGGAGACCTGCTGCTTGATAAGGTAGCTAACACACACACACACACATATAAAGACAAACACGCAGACACCAACCTGCAGGAACACACACACAAACACACAGCACACACACACAGTTGTTCTTAACAACCAGGAGTGGACACCACCTCTTTACAGTGTCTCTAACACTGGCATGTCTTTCTCCTTGCTGTCCTCAGATCAGAATACGGGACGTTGCTCCAAAGATCGTGCAGCTGCTGACAGAGTGGACAGAGACGTTTCCCTATGACTTCAGAGATGAGAGGATGATGCGCTGTCTGAAAGAGATGAGCCATCATCTGGCCAGAGGAGATGAGGTCAGTACCCAGATATAACATATTGCTGGCTGGCTGGCTGGCTGGCTGGCTGACTGACTAGCTGGCTGACTGGTCAATAGAGATGAGGTCAGTACCCAGATATAACATATTGCTGGCTGGCTGGCTGGCTGGCTGACTGGCTGACTAGCTGGCTGACTGGTCAATAGAGATAAGGTCAATACCCTGATATAACCTCTGACTGACTGACTTAATGATTGACTGGCTGGCTGGCTGGCTGGCTGGCTGGCTGGCTGGCTGGCTGACTGGCTGACTAGCTGGCTGACTGGTCAATAGAGATAAGGTCAATACCCTGATATAACCATCTGCCTGACTGACTTAATGATTGAACTGCGCGGGTGGCTGCTGGGCTGGTGGTGGCGGCTGATCTGACTGGCCTGATGACTGGTAAATAGAGATAAGGTCAGTACCTGATATAACCTCTGACTGACTGACTCATTAGAGACAATAGACATGACATCAGACATCTAATTTGACCAGTTACGGTTGAGTTTGACATCAGACACCTTGTTTATCACAAATTGAGCTTGATCAAGGATGAACTAAACTGCTGCCTTGTGTTGATAGTGTTATATCATTACAAATATGTGTCACTCATGTGTTACTGTATGTCATTATATGTGTTCTATGTGTTCTATGTGTTCTATGTGTTCTATGTGTTATATCAGCAGTAGATACAGATGTCGGATCTTAATTTGAGCCAGTTCGCTACAGCAGGAAAGTAATCCTGCAGCAACAGGAAATTTGAATTATTATGTTGATTTTTAATGGACATTTTTTGTATGGTTTTATATATTTTCCGTTAGGGTAAATCAAATCTGACATTTTAAAGTGGAAATTACAAACTTTAGAAGCCTTTTTAAACCTTGAATACACTACAAATTTTAAATGTCCTGCATTGCAGGACATTTCTCCCGCAACAGGGTGATCAAGTTAAGATCCTACATCTGTAAGTATATGATATATCTATAGATATTGATTTTCCTTTCTGTTGTTTGTGCTGGAACAGTACTAGACCATATAGAAATATACCGTACATATACTGTTTCATCTCCTCTTTTCGTTGTGTTATATCAGTATGCGTATTCGGTACATAAATTGATCTACTCTTTACGTTGTTATATCAGTATGCGTATACGGTACATACAGTTTATTAGGTACACCCATCTAGTACTGTGTCGGACCCCCCTTTACCTCCAGAACAGCCTGAATTCTTTGGGGCATGGATTCTATAAGGTGTGGCATTCAAACGTTGCTCAATTGGTCGATCCCCGGGACCACCCATACGTAAAAATGTATGCGCACATGACTGTAAGTCGCTTTGGATAAAAGCGTCTGCTAAATGGCATATTATTATTATTATTATTATTATCAAGGGACCTAATGTGTGCCAGGAAAACATTCCCCACAGCAGTACACCACCGCTACCAGCCTGTACCGTTGGCACCAGGCAGGATGGGGCCATGGACTCATGCTGGGTATGCCAAATCCTGACTCTGCCGTCAGCATGACGCAACAGGAACCGGGATTCGTCGGACCAAGCGATGTTTTTCCACTCCTCAATTGTCCAGTGTTGGTGATCACGTGCTCACTGGAGCCTCTTCTTCTTGTTTTTAGCTGATAGGAGTGGAACCTGGTGTGGTCAGCTACTGCAATAGCCCGTCCGTCACAAGGACCAACGAGTTGTGCATTCCGAGATTCCATTCTGCACACCACTGTTGTACTGCTCCGTTATTTGCCTGTTTGTGGCAGGCCTGTTAGCTTGCACGATTCTTGCCATTCTCCTTCGACCTCTCTCATCAACGAGCTGTTTTCACCCACAGGACTGCTGCTGACTGGATGTTTTTTGTTTGTCGCACCATTCTCTGTAAACCCTACACACTGTTGTGAGTGAAAAACCCAGGAGGCCGGCTGTTTCTGAGATACTGGAACCGGCGCACCTGACACCGACGATCATACCACGCTCAAAGCCGCTTAGGTCAGTCATTTTGCCAATTCTAACATTAAATCGAACAGTAACTGAATGCCTCGATGCCTGTCTGCCTGCTTTATATAGCAAGCCATGGCCACGTGACTCACTGTCTCTAGGAGCGAACCATTTTTGTGAACGGGATGGTGTACCTAATAAAATGGCCACTGAGTGTAGATTGATTTTTCTCTTTATGTTGTTTTATATCAGTACTCATATCTCTTGATGTTGTTTTATATCAGTACTCATATCTCTTGATGTTGTGTTGTATCAGTACTCATATCTCTTGATGTTGTGTTGTATCAGTACTCATATCTCTCGATGTTGTGTTGTATCAGTACTCATATCTCTTGATGTTGTGTTGTATCAGTACTCATATCTCTCGATGTTGTTTTATATCAGTACTCATATCTCTTGATGTTGTTTTATATCAGTACTCATATCTCTTGATGTTGTTTTATATCAGTACTCATATCTCTTGATGTTGTGTTGTATCAGTACTCATATCTCTTGATGTTGTGTTGTATCAGTACTCATATCTCTTGATGTTGTGTTGTATCAGTACTCATATCTCTTGATGTTGTGTTGTATCAGTACTCATATCTCTCGATGTTGTTTTATATCAGTACTCGTGGCGGGCCATGCAGCAGATGACTCAGCGGTTGATCCGGAGGTTGGCGGCTCTGGGTCAGTATGAGGAGGCTATCGCCACGCTCAACGCCTCCGCAGCCGAAAGACCCACCGCTCTGAAGGCCAAGCAGCAGAACGGACAGAGGAATGATGTCCTCAGTGTCTGTGATGATTCCTTTATACTAGCCCAGCAACTCACACACATTGAACTGGTGAGGAGAGATTATATTGTATATGTGCCTTCTAGACATGTGGTGTTCAGAGAAGTTGAAACTGAATGGCATTTCTGTTTGAATTAGAAGTTATTGTTAACTAGAAGTTTATCCTATACATACACTTGATCCATCAAGTAACGTTTATGTAAGAATATTGAGTTTAGAAATATTTGCTTATTATACCTTATGATTTTTCCAATTCCAGGACAGACTGAGTTTTATCGGACCAGAGGAATTCATCCAAGCCTTTGGGGTGAAAGATTCCCTGGACAACCATAAGGTAGGCCTGGTCCACTACCGTGTACATAACATTGTCCACTACCTTCCACTGGATACATAAGAGACCATATGTCAGTCATTATGGTTAGGCTACTGAATGGGTTGTGGCTGACTATCATTGTGTTGGCCTGTTAACAATTATCAACAGAGTACATCACAATAAGTAGCCAAGAACTGAGTGAGAGAAACAACTCTAGACCACATTCATTTTACATGAAAATAAACCGAATTTACTGGATTGCTCCAACAGCAGTTCCATGTTGTAATTCAGCTAGATAATAAGTTGAATAGTAACCATGAACTTTTTTTCCCCCTCAGAGTTTCTTCCGAAAACGCAAGACTACTAACCTGGAGGCCTATGTAGCTTGGTTTAACAGACTCAGCTACCTAGTGGCTACTGAAATATGCATGGTGAATGCTCTCTTTCTTTCTTACTTACTTTCTGTCTCTCTCTCACTCTTCAGCTCTCTCTATCTCCTGAGTGGCGCAGTGGTCTAAGGCACTGCTTCGCAGTGCTAACTGTGCCACTAGAGATCCTGGTTCGAATCCAGGCTCTGTCGCAGCCGGCCGCGACCGGGAGACTCATGGGCGGCGCACAATTGGCCCAGGGTAGGGGAGGGAATGGCTGGCAGGGATGTAGCTCAGTTGATAGAGCATGGCGTTTGCAACGCGGCGCACAATTGGCCCAGGGTAGGGGAGGGAATGGCTGGCAGGGATGTAGCTCAGTTGATAGAGCATGGCGTTTGCAACGCCAGGGTTGTGGGTTCGATTCCCACGGGGGGCCAGTATAAAAAAAAAAAAAGTATTCACTAACTGTAAGTCGCTCTGGATAAGGGCGTCTGCTAAATGACTAAAATGTAAATGTAATGTAAAATGTCTCTCTCCCCACAATCATTCTCTTTCTGTCATCCTTTCTTTCTCACACTCTGTTGCAATGGTTTTGTGTTTTCCTTCCTTCCAGCCAGTAAAGAAGAAACATAGAGCCCGGGCCTTGGATTTCTTCATAGATGTGGCTAGAGAATGCTACAACATTGGCAACTTCAACTCACTCATGGCCATCATCAGTAAGTTACAATACAGGGCTCTAGAATGATTTCTATATTCTACAATAGAATGCTTAGAATTGGAATTTCAGTTTACTTCCTGAATTCACTGAATTGAAATGGAATTGATCCCCAACCCTGCTCTCCTCTCCCCACAGCCGGAATGAACATGAGTCCTGTGTCTCGACTGAAGAAGACCTGGAGCAAAGTCAACACAGACAAGTTTGACATACTGGAGCACCAAATGGACCCCTCCAGTAACTTCAGTAACTACCGTACTGCCCTGCGAGGAGCCACCCAGAGGTCTATTACAGCACACAGCAACCAGGAGAAGATAGTCATTCCATTCTTCAGCCTTCTCATCAAGGACATCTACTTCCTCAATGAGGGATGTGCCAGCCGACTACCCAACGGTCATGTCAACTTTGAGGTGAGTCTTACTGTAACAGAAAGGCATTATTGTTAGGATAACTGATTAGGACAATACTCTTCTTCTATTACGCGTTTAGTAGTGAGCAAAAAGGGCATTGTTGTCAATATTGTTCATTTCAATGAATGTTAATTTCCTGTTTCTCTATAGAAACTGTGGGACCTGGCGAAGCAGGTCAGTGAGTTCCTGGTGTGGCGTCAGGTGACGTGTCCCTTTGAGAGAGACAGGAAGATCCTCCAGTACCTGGTCACCACACCGGTCTTCACCGAGGATGAGCTGCACTTGGCCTCCTATGAGACCGAAGGTCCAGAGAACCACCTGGAGAAGGACAGTCGGAGGTCTCTCAGGTGTGTAACTTTACTTTTTTTCTCTTTGCTAACTTAATGTTAACTTTAATCAAGGGTTTGCACTCACACACTGCACAGTTTTTATTTAAATAATAACATTGTGTTATGTGTCTTGTGTTTCAGGTCATCCCTACTGCATAGAGAGCATCGGTGAGTGACGGTCATGAGTGGGACACTGGGCGATCCTCTTTCGCAACAAGAGGCTCACAGTCGACAGGGTCTGGAAGATTACGATTTTCACAAAGGATGGGGAAAATAACTGTTTCAAGCACTCAGATAAAGGATGCCTCCTTCTACATTTTACATTTTAGCAGACGCTCTTATCCAGAGCGACTTACAGTTAGTGAGTGCATACATTTTTTGTTTTTCATACTGGCCCCCCGTGGGAATCGAACCCACAACCCTGGTGTTGCAAGCGCCATGCTCTACCAACTGAGCTACACGGGGCCCTGGAAACTGAAAATCTTGCCTCTCGCACTGTACATTGACAGATGATTCATTTGTAACATGTCTACCCACACAGTATTACAGTTATTTTACAGATGATTCATTTGTATCATGTCTACCCACACATTATGACAGTTCTTTTTTATACCAATGGGTCGAAATGGTTACTGATGATTTTCAAAGCTTTTCTGAAGTAGTCTTTCTGAAGTGTCATGAGCTTGTTGCTGGTTGGCTTGCTCAGTGTTCTTAAAATGTCATCTATTATTATTTTATGTTTTTGTTCTTAGTAAATTGTGTTTTGTATATATGTCAGACATTACTGAAATATTTGTGCTGAACCTAAAAAAAATATAATCTCATCTTTGGTGAAAGGAATATGAATATGACTGAATAGCCTGTGAATAGTTAACTCTGTTTTTTACATTTTTTGCCTCATCATATGTGTTTGTTTACCTTACAGATATGACTTTTTATAAATGTTTTATGTTGACGTATTCTCATCTTTTTTTACTATTTGGTTTTGTATCATGTATGTTTTTATTGTTTGGCCACCCCAATGTGTTACTTATCAATGTACTCTACATGACGTTCTTATGAAATAATAGGTATATACTTCTTTCAAAAGAAAATAAAAAACATTGAAGCTGAGTTTTTTTCTATCCCTGTAAATAGCTCTCTAGTACCATCTAGTGTTCACAACTAACCTTACAATCAAGTCATATCAACACCGAAATTATCGTCATTTGTGTGAAAAACAAGCATTTGATGTAAAAGAATAGAAAAATATATGGCATTCAAAAAATGTCACATTTTACAGAATTGTGAGAAATTGTTTAACTATTTCTAAGGAGAAAAAAGTATCCCTTATATGTAAGCAGACTCATACATGTTTTAAAAAAATGTAATTGCATTGTTAATGTACATTACAGTAATTAACATAATAGTTTTATTAGTTATCCAATTAGTATCTTCATCAATATGATGACACATCAAACATATTAAAATATCAAGATCTTACCAATGATAAGAACTCATTGAATTGAACTCATGTGTGAGAAGTCATGTGTCGCGCAAGGTGATGGCGTTGTCTGAAGACCTCGCTGCAGACGGAACACTTGAGCCTCTCCTCTATCGCCCTGCGCTGCTGTTGTTTCACCCCAGACCCTGACTCTGTAGTATCCAGCGCCCTCTTGTGGTAGGACCTCATATGCTGCACCAGATCCGAGATCAGGCGGAAGGAGATGTTGCATTTGGCACACAAGTTCTGAGCCATCAGGCTGAGGGGCGAGAGCCGTGAGACGGAGGGGGGCAGGGAAATCTGGACCTGGAGTGGGGATCTGCCTGGGGTCCTGGGCCAGAGAGCTGCTTGGCTGTAGAGAGGGTGCCTCTGTTTCAAAACACCCTGGACCAGCACCGGTCGGTGGAGATCAGTAGTGAGGGGAGTGATTGAGGTTTTAGCCCTCCCAAGCAGGGGGGTAGTCTGGGGAAGGGAAACAGAGCGTGGGGGCTGGGAGAAGGCACTCCTCCTGTTCTCTGAGACAGAGACCTGGATGAAGGCCGAGGTGACAGTAGGAGAGTCAGTGAAAGAAGACCAGATGAGAGATGGAGATGAAGACCGTAGGCTGGATGAAGATCTGAGATCTTCAGGCCCAGAGCCTTGCTGTATGTGTAGTTGGGTTGCTCTGTCTTTGGTGATGTTGTTCTTGTTGATGTTACTGGGCAGGTGACAGGAGACTGAGCTGGGTTGTATTTTCATGTTCAAAGTACAGCATCCTCTGTCCAGTGGTTCCTGCTTTATCACTAGAGGCTGTGGCTCACTCCACCTGTCCTCCTCCACCTTTGTGTGTTTCCTTTTGAGGGAACCAATAGTCTCAGTGTCCCTGGTGCTGGAAGACCCCGTCTTAATATTCTCCATATCCCTGGCTAAGTTATGGAAGTCTGTTGCAGGTTTGTTATCCTGTGGACTTGTTTCTGGACGGCTCCGTTTGAAGGCAGAAACAGGAAGGGAGTCAGGTTTCACATGGTCAGTGTTGCCTTGACCAGGTTTGGTGGTGTGGCTGTTTGGTTGTCTCTGTGTGCAGAGGAATCTCCGATGTGCCAGAAAGGGGAACTCAGTCTCAAAGCCCTGGTTACAGTTGGCACAAGTGTACAGACCAGCACCTGGTTATAGAGATGGATTAATATTACTTTATTCTGCCAATATTGCATAACATAAACCTTTGTCAATACTGTTTAAATTCTACAAATGTATTGAATAAATATAGTTGTAATGTTTTTATTTATGGATAATTGCAGTCAGTATTAAAATTGCTATGAACAATATATATATATATTGTAATATATCATATTTTATTAGTATGTAATAACACATTCATAGAGTGTGTAGACAAACCTTTGCTTTGTATCTGTAGTGGGTTTAGGAGAAGAAGCTTGGCCAGGTCTTTCCCGTACCACACCAACAGCTCCTCTTCCTTCAGGATCGTCCTGAGGGCTCTAAAGAATAGTTGTCCGTTCTTCACATAGGCCTCCAGGTTCTGTTCCTCAGCGCTCCGGGCTGACTGGACCAGCCGCAGCCACATCGGACCATCAGTGCGCATGTTGGGCGCTGAGGTGTCCACCTGTGTAGCCAAATAGAAACGGGTCGTTGTCATACAAAAACAAGAAAAATACACAATTTGACTACCTGAAAGGTTCAATGCATTTCAAACAATTATGTGGGCAATTAGTTTGGAACACATTATTTTAGGACGCACGGAATTGGTAAGTGTTCTCACCCTCAAAATGTATGGTGCCGTTCTTCTGTCCATAGACTTCAGAGCAATGAAGGCGACGCTGTCATAAACTGAGGTATGTTTCAGCTCATACGGTCCAAAAACGGCGTTCTCGGGAACGTCGCAGGTCGTGTGGACGCGCGTAAAAATGTCCGTTATCCATCGTTGCCGAGCTTCCGCCTCTGTGTTCCAAAAGAGTTTCGCAAGAATATCTGCCTCCAGGGTCTCCTGAGAAACATAGAATTTATATCATTCGGCTAACAATTGAGAATAAATCATTTGAAACTGAGTTTGGCAAACGCCAAAGAAACCATGCATAAAACCGATCTAAATCCAAAACAATACTTACCATCGCAAACAGCTGAGTGGTGGACAAAAATTCTGCGATTAGGTTTGCGCTTCTCCTATTTGCTCTGTCCCTGCTTGTATTATACAGCGCGCGGTGTCTTGTAGATTGCCCACCAACTGGTCTACTTGAGGAGCTGGTTTTATAGTCTAGTTTAATCTGCACTTTGAGATTTGACCTTTCTCCGCTCCTTCTTTATCCTCTTGTTAGCTGGGTGACATTAATGATCTCTGACAACCAGAGAGTGTCGGTGCATGGATGGACGGTCTAAAGAGGTCATGGGTGTCAAGGGCCAGTGTAGAAGAAGCCAATTTCGATTAGATATTGAATTCATGACATTTGGTAAATATGGACAAAATAGAGTGTATTTAGGTGACTGCAGGCGATGTTCTGGTGTGCATGCCCCGAGGCCACGACGACAAACGCGGGTGTGAGTGTCATAAATACGATTTTCTGCGTCCTCAGGCGATAGAGAAACCCTGGTTTATTGACGGATCACGGCAATGTTGGAATTCACTCTACACAGTATCATAATGAGCGATTTCCACATTTCTACTTCCACAATGGCGTGGACATCAGAATCTGTCGAAATGAAGTTTTCAAACGAAACAATCTTTTTTATTTCAGTCTGTGAAATTAAAAGTAATATCCACGTTTTCCTGTGGTCTTGGCTATAATTCATTGCGTATCAAGCTCCAATTAAGTTTGTTTGTTGAACAGAAATAGTTCCATAAATTGTTAATTTAACAAAACATGTTGTCACCTGCTGTCTCCCGGACGCTGGTGAGGGAGCGATAGGGTTTAAAGTGTCCGGATCTCTTGCGCATGCCCAGTTCAGGTGGGATTGGGACAGTATCAGCCGTGATGCGACGCCCCAAACCATTTTATTCTCTCTATTCAGAAAAGATGTAGTTACCAACAAGTGGCAAGGACGATCATCGGTATTTACGAAGACATATGGTAGTAACATGTTGCGTAACAGTCATGTTAGTTTCTTCAGTCAGTCTTGATTTATCTCGAGTCTTGTTTTACATAGAAGGAAGCGCATGTAAAGGTACACAGTGGTACAGTGCAATGTGCAAAATACCATCGAGGCAATGATCCTCAACGGACAATGGATTGTATTTCTTATTATCTTTCTAATAAACAAATTATTTTGTCAAAGCGAAGAGGCATCTTGCCATGGAGCTTTTGATATTTATTTCGTTTTAGATAGGTAAGTATCCTAGCCTATACACTAAATGCAAGATGTAGTTGATATGAACGTGACTTGTTATGTTTTTATTTATGGTGATGTATCTTGAATCAACATGATTCAATAGCATGTATCAGGTGTCAGATTGCATTTATCAAGCATTTTATTATCAAGTTGTTGTGTGTGAAAAAAACACAAATGTGTAACAAGTAGTAAAAATTCTAATGTAAATAGAATTACAATTATATTTCAGTTTGTATAGTCCTTGTATGGGTTTGTTTGGTTTAGAGAGTTTCAATGTGTGCTCTACAGGTCTGGTAGTGTGTATGATAACTGGGGAGAGATCTATGAGTTTGTGGAGCAGCTCACCAACCGCTTTGTGAGGTAAACTGTCTATGCTCTCAGGTCAAGCTCTCTATGAAGTTAAACTTGCCTTGAAAATGTCACTATCCATCAGGGCAAAGCCCACATAACTCTCTCCCTCTCTCCCTGTTTCTCCTCTCTCCCTGTTTCTTCTCACTCACTCTCTCTGTCTCTCTCTCCCTTTGTTCTTCTCTCCCTTTCTCTCATAAAACAACATTTACACACTAGTGTTCAGTATATTGACTGAATGAGCCCCTTTTATCAAAGAACAATTTATCAAGGACATGTTTACACAGCAGGAATCAATAGATAAACTATAGCAAACACGGTCCTGTGAAAGTGGGGCATATCTTTATTGAGCAGAAGCCTAGGCATTTAACAAAATGTAGGTCCACCAAACACTAGGATACTGCATGCGTGGGATTATTTTTAAACTTAATAATGGTGTACTAAATTTAACTCCAGAAACATTTGGTACAGCTGGCTGTGGTGGCAACTGGTGTGTAATTGTAGGCTAATGTAGAAAAAAATGGTTAGCCGCAAAGGGTTTGGGGAATATATAGCCTCGCTATTGTTAATTTACTGCTGCTCTTTAATTATTTGTTACTTTTATTTCTTCTTATTTTTTTATTTAATGTTTTTGTGGTATTTTGTTTGTGGTATTCTTTCTTAAAATTGCATTGTTGGTTAAGGGCTTTGTTGTAAGTAAGCATTTCACTGTAAGGTCTACACCTGTTGTATCCAGCGCATGTGACAAATACAATTAGATTAGATTAGATTTTGATTTTGAATATGGCTAAGTAGATCTACTGTTAGTGTAGTCTTTTAAATATTAAATGACCAGTCATTGCTTGAGTTAATCTGCTTCTGTGTCTTCTTGGGTGTTTAATCCCGTTCATCCCCTGGTGTATCTCTGTGTTTGTTCTAGTCCAAAGATGAGAGTTTCCTACATAGTTTTCTCATCTAGAGCCGAGATGATTCTACCACTAACTGGAGACAGGTACTACTACAGGAAACATCTTTCACCTAGCACAGACAGCACACGCGCTCTCTCGCGGTACACATCATCTCTCAGATAATACAGGACCTAAAATGCATATTTCTTGTTCCTTTGTAGGTATGAAATAGAGGAAGGCTTGAAAAAGTTACGTAAAATCAGACCGGCTGGTGAAACATACATGCACGAAGGAATGAAAGTGGTATGAAGTTTTGATTCATAGCATTTATATATATATTTTTGTAGTTGTACTGTATGTGTTGTCCATTAAATCATGGCTTCCTCCATGTAGGCTTCAGAGCAGATGAAGGCCCAGGTCACACGGTCATCCAGCATCATCATCGCTCTGACTGATGGGAAACTGGAGGTCTATCCCTATGAACTGACAGTAGAGGAGGTAATGCCATTATAATAGACTGTGATGAGCAATAATATAGTACTTACTTTGCTTTGAGCTCTTACTGGTACACAGCTATTTTCCATAAATGAATCTATCGGTCCTCTCTTTTTGCTTCAGGCTAACGCTGCCAGGGAGTTTGGTGCTAGGGTATACTGTGTCGGTGTGAAGGACTTTGATGAGAGACAGGTAGGATTTTGGAGTCTCACTTGACCAATTGTAGGCTGGAGAAGCACTCACAAACTGCACACAGCCACACACAAACAGTATCCCTGCTGAAATATTTGTTCACATTGAAATCTGTTGGATAAGCATGCACAATGCTGTAACAGCTGATTGATATTGATAACATAGTGAAAGGAAAATGAGAGTACCAGGTTAATGATTTGATCGTCTGTCCCTCTCAGCGAGTGTTAGCAGTCTGGACACGAAGTGATCTGTACTGTAATCATCTAATAAGATCAAGATTGTGCCAGTCCTGCTTCCTGTTATAGTTTCATTACATTAGATGAAAGCCTTGGAAACCAGGCAGGAAAACATCAACAGAGAGACAGATTAATGTACAGACAATGAGGGAGAGTGCTATGTTGTACGTTAGATGTGGAAAGGCAATCTCTTAGATGTTGTGTAGTATCATACAGTATGCTTCCTTCTTATCCCTACAGCTTGTTGACATTGCAGACAGCAAAGACCAAGTATTCCCAGTTCTGGCTGGATTTCATGCACTCAAAACCATTGTGAATTCGGTGAGGTCAGAATAATTACATAGAGCAATATGTCAAAATAAACTTTAAGACACATACCATGTAATTTACATCATCTGTATTTATATTTTTCACAGATTTTGAAGAAATCCTGCACAGAAATATTCAGTATAGAGCCCACTAATGTTTGTGTGAATGGTATGTTGCAAAGATTTAGTTTGTTGTTATACTGATGAAATTTGATCAATATTGGTTAACAATATTATTAATTTGTGCCCAAAAATCCTAACATTGTGACCCTCCATAACATTCTAGAATCCTTTAACATTGTACTGAGAGGATATGACTTCACCCGTGGGAGGAGCCAGGAGGGAGTGATCTGTGTTCTCACAGTCAACCAGAAGACCTACAGTTAGTATACCGTACCCCAAGCTCCATAAAGCATCACATTCTGCATTCCAATATTGACACACCTACCTACTGTAAGAGTGCAAATTGACAACAACCCCCTAACTGCGTTACACCACATTCATTCATGTATATTACCAGATGCCACTGTCCTTTGTAGTTGTATACCAAACAATGCACTTCAATGCCATTCCTCAGGATTCAATCAATTTCATAATGGAAAGAGGTTGGTCACCCTGTTCATTCTATAGCCATAGTAATAAAGTAATGAGACCATGTGGGTGAATGTTGGGGCTCACTATTTTCCCAAACCAGAGAGAACAGAACAGTGTCTTATTTAGTAGCTAGAGAACAGATATGTCATTCTGCAGCTAGCTGAGTGCATGGAGCTGGTCTCATTGCTTAATATAGAACACAACACACAATGTCTCTTCACTGAGAGGGCGTAGAGCTCACACACCCCTCCCTCTTGCTCTCTCCCAGATGAGAGGCCTAATGTGGTGCAGGATGGCTATCTGTTGTGTCCTTTCCCTCTCTCCCAGATGAGAGGCCTAATGTGGTGCAGGATGGCTATCTGTTGTGTCCTTTCCCTCTCTCCCAGATGAGAGGCCTAATGTGGTGCAGGATGGCTATCTGTTGTGTCCTTTCCCTCTCTCCCAGATGAGAGGCCTAATGTGGTGCAGGATGGCTATCTGTTGTGTCCTTTCCCTCTCTCCCAGATGAGAGGCCTAATGTGGTGCAGGATGGCTATCTGTTGTGTCCAGCACCAGTGCTGCATGAAGCCGGACAGTAAGTGCTGCACTTGATTCTCTCCTCGTAGAACTTCCTGTAGCCATAAATGGCCAGTGAGCTACTGAGCGCGTTCAGTTGGCCAGATCAAAGGAATGGCATGTTGTCTGTTGGTTGCCGTTAGAGCTGAACCACGCAGAAACCCAAGCTCCACTGTCGGAGACTACACACACTTCCATTCAGGGTGGGCAGTGGGTTCGACGGGTAACGGATCCATCACTTTATAAAAGCAAAAAAAAAAAAAAATTAAAGAATAAAAATAGAATAAAAGTCTGGTGGAGATTGGAGAATGGCCGCTGTTCAGCCCTTTTCCATTACAGTACCCTGCCTGGTTTCTTTATAAAATGTGAACGAATAGGCTGAACCGATGTGTAGTGGTGAGACACACCAAAATGGTTTGGCATACTGTCATTAAAACAGTTTAGTACAGGAGGATATTTTTGTGAGACTTTGTGACACTGTTAGTGTTTACCCACTGGGCAAAAGCTGGTCGAGTCAACGTTGTTTCCACGTAATTTCAGCCCCAAAAATCTATGTGATAACTTTGAATCAACCTGGCAAACTGATTGGAAAGGGACAGAAATTCATATTTCTTTCACCCAACCTAAATCCAATGGCATTTGTTGTTGATTTCATATTAGTTGACAACTCAACCAAATGTTAATCAAAACTAGACGTTGAACTGACGTCTGTGCCCAGCGGGTACCCACTGTTGACCATGTGACAGTGTTTACCATGCCCACCAGCCTGTTTGCTATAGCACAGTGCTCTGGCATTTCAATGTATGGTCTGCCAGGCCGATACTTAAATTAAGTTTGACCTGACCTACTTTGTTAGTCTCGCTCTCTCTCAGCAATAACATAGAAATGGGCTGGATTTTGTTTCTCTCTCAATAGATCGATAGATGTTCTGATCAGCTTGAACAAGGGTCAGTCCTACATCTCAAGTCCATTCACTATCTACGCTACAAGATGTGTGAGTATCAGTATCACAGATAACACCAACACTCAAAACAAAACAGCCTCACTCCACTGACATTCAGTTTGGTCAGTCTTAGTCCACCAAAGTCTAGTCTGATAAAGTCCATGATATACAGTATTATATATGATATTTATGTTTGATATAAAGTCATCTGTTCAAGTCTGTGTTGTGTACCAGGCTGCTTTGTTTACCATTCAGATTCAGATCAACTTTATTATCCCACCAGGGGGAAATTCATTTGGTCATGTGCTTAAAAAGACAGTACATAAAACATAGAAACTACACAATATAATTAATTCAGAGTGCTATAGCTACACATTTAAAGTGAAAGTGCAATGTCTCCTGATGCAGTCTGATGGGACAGTGGTACTGGTGCTGGTCTTGGTTCTCCTCCTGCTACTGGCTCTGGTTCTGCTGTGGTGGTTCTGGCCGCTCTGCTGCACTATTGTGAGTGGTTCAACACAGCACTTCTCCCCTTGAAAAATAGAAACAGTATGAGTGAATCAGTTAAAAGGGTTGTTGGTTGATGTTAGTTTATAGTACTGGAAGAAGGCTTCTATTTTACAGGTGATCAAGGATCCCCCTCCCCGTCGACCCCCTCCTCCCCCTCCTCCAGCACCTGTGAGTGGATTGTCGCTTAGATCCTTTGAACTGTTGTTTAAATCAACATGAAAGTGACATTTGAAAGTCCGTTCAGCTCTTCACAGGGTTAATGCAGTGTGGTTTCACTGTGTCTCCTCCATTAGGAGCCTGAGGAGGACCCTCTGCCCAAGAGGAAATGGCCCATGGTGGATGCATCCTATTATGGGGGAAGAGGTATCGGAGGAATGAAACGCATGGAGGTATGTCGGAATGAGTATTACCCCATACAACCCTATCTATTTGGGCTGCATTATATCTTGACAGTGAGTTGTGTCACTTTATTTTGAGTGATGTTAGTTACTCTAAGGGTCTGAATATATTATTTTAGCACAAAATAACCAAACAGTATAAAATGAAAGACGAACTGTATAAAATAACCTAATGTAAACTGTGTATTAGGTTCGTTGGGGAGAGAAGGGTTCCACGGAGGAAGGTGCGCGGCTAGAGAAAGCTAAGAACGCAGTGGTCACAATGGTGGAAGAGGAGGTGGAAGAACACATAAGAAAACCAATGCCTCAGAGCCCACCCCCTATCTATCACATCCCAGAACAGTCCAGATGGTACACACCAATCAAGGTTAGTTTGGATGCTTTCAAACCCAATTGACAATGGCAGTCAGCAACGGATTTGATATCTTGCATATTTTTAGCTGGTTTCATCATATCTTTGTTTAAACTGGTTTTCATTATTTCATCCTCAAAGGGGCGTTTTGATGCGCTAGTGGCATTACTCAGGCGACAGTATGATCGAGTTGCTGTCATGAGACCAACAGCACAGGACAGGGTAAGGCACCCCCTTGTATAAATGTTTTCAGTTTACTTCCAGAATTGCTTTCCTGAATTAACTGAATTTAAATGGAATTGACCCCAACCCTGATTGCAACAAACTCGTGAAAAAAAAGAAAAGAAAGAATGACGGGAAAGATGTAAACGAGGATGGGGGATGTCAGTGTTCGTGTAGAACGTGTTGAGACGCTGGTCATTCATACTACTGTCCTGTCATCATAGACCAGACACTCTAGGTCAGTGGAGGATGCTGGTCATTGTCTTCCCATTAATAAGGGAGGTGGGGTCTGTCTGTGGTGCCCGTTCATGTGATAATACTGTACTGAATTTGTTCTGAATTACTACACTACATTTGTTATAACAACCTTTTGTTGTAAATTTTGTATTTCTTGGTTATGAAGTTATAGGTCAGTTGAGGTCAAATGAAACATATTATTATGGTGGCAGATTTTGGTTTCAACTTAAAATTGCAACCAAAATTTACTATTTCAAGCAAAACATCTCGACTTCAATAAGTAATCGATAAATGTGAACAGTGAATAGCCATACTAGCTGTAAGCATGCGTTTAACCATGCACCAATTCCTCTTCCTGGTGTGTGCTTATAAGAGGGCTGGTACCTACCTGCTCTATACTCGCCTGGGATAATGATGGGGGCTCCCTTCTTGACAGAATGGGAGTGGCTGTCTGTCCAGCCAGTTATGCTCTCGCACTTGATTAGCTTGATTGGTTAATAGTGATGTTGTGACAATGACCGGCCCATTCGCCATCCCCTCCTTACCCATTACAGGCTGCCTCAATTGAGTTTAATTAGAATAAATTGTAAATGTCAACTCTGCATTGTCAAAAGAATTCCATGATACGTCACGTACATTGCGACTCCATTAGGAGCTCATTTTGTAACTGATGTACCTCATTTATCTGAGGTAAACAAGTCCATATATGGTGGGGAGTAATGGGTAGCTACAGTAGCAGTAGAACGTTGAGGAGAGCTGCTTTGACGTGATTGGTTGTTGTAATATTTACACCAGTGGAGAGCAGGTCTGAGCAGTCTGCACTGTCAATGGAAGGGGAAAGCGGCCAGGTATGAACAATATCATGCCATGCACCATTGTTCATGAGAATTAAGCTGATATTGAGGTAGGGAGGTGTTACTACTGTAATGAAATATAGTGTATGTTAAGGAAGTACTGCTGTACATTTTCTGATAAGTGTACAATACAGTAGGTACATTTAAGCCTAACTGCTCACTATTGTAAAAAAGTATGTATTCTCAAATTACCTGGTAAAGTAAAAGGTTTAAATGGAATAAATAATCTGCATTTTGTTTTGTTTCAGGGGCGCTGTATGAATTTCACCAGAGTTCCCAATCATTAGGTCAAACACACCATCATCTTTGGACTATGAGGCTATGGAGAGAACAGGAGCCCATAGCCGCAGGAAGTAGGGGTGCTGAGGATGCTGCAACACCCCATGAAAAATCTGAATACAATAAATAAATATATATTATATATATATATATATATATATATATATATATATATATATATACACACACACACACACACACATTACAAATGTATTAATACATGTTATTATTGATATATACAGTACCAGTCAAAAGTTTGGACACACCTACTGATTCCAGGGTTTTTCTTCACTATTATTCTACAATGCAAAAAATAGTAAAGACATCAAAACTATGAAATAACACATGGAATCATGTAGTAACCAAAAAAGTGTTAAACAAATCAAAATATATTTTATATTTGAGATTCTTCAAAGTAGCCACCCTTTGCCTTGATGACAGCTTTGCACACTATTGGCATTCTCTCAACCAGATTCATGAGGTAGTCACCTGGAATGCATTTCAATTAACAGGTGTGCCTTGTTAAAAGTACAATTTGTGGAATTTCTTTCCTTAATGCGTTTGAGCCAATAAGTTGTGTTGTGACAAGGTAGGGGGAGATTTTTGGTTCCAACCGCTGTGTCTTTTTGAGACGCAGTGTAGGTGAACGGATGATCTCCGCATGTGTAGTTCCCACCATGAAGCATGGAGGAGGTATGATGGTGTGGGGGTGCTTTGCTGGTGACACTGTCTGTGATTTATTTAGAATTCAAGGCACACTTAACCAGCATGGCTACCACAGCATTCTGCAGCAATACGCCATCCCATCTGGTTTGCGCTTAGTGGGATATCATTTGTTTTTCAACAGGACAATGACCCAAAACACACCTCCAGGCTGTGTAAGGGCTATTTGACCAAGGAGAGTGATGGAGTGCTGCATCAGATGACCTGGCCTCCACAATCACCCGACCTCAACCCAATTGAGATGGTTTGGGATGAGTTGGACCGCAGAGTGAAGGAAAAGCAGCCAACAAGTGCTCAGCATATGTGGGTACTCGTTCAAGACTGTTGGAAAAACATTCCAGATTAAGCTGGTTGAGAGAATGCCAAGAGTGTGCAAAGCTGTCATCAAGGCAAAGGGTGGCTACTTTGAAGAATCTCAAATATAAAATATATTTCTATTTGTTTAACACTTTTTTGGCTACTACATGATTGTTATTTCATAGTTTTGATGTCTTCACTATTATTCTACAATGTAGAAAATAGTTAAAATAAAGAATAACCCTTGAATGAGTTGGTGTCCAAAGTTTTGACTGGTACTATATATATATATATATATATATATATATATATATATATATATATACAGTGGGGGAAAAAGTATTTAGTCAGCCACCAATTGTGCAAGTTCTCCCACTTAAAAAGATGAGAGAGGCCTGTCATTTTCATCATAGGTACACGTCAACTATGACAGACAAATTGAGAAAAAAAAATCCAGAAAATCACATTGTAGGATTTTTAATGAATTTATTTGCAAATTATGGTGGAAAATAAGTATTTGGTCACGATTTCTGGCTCTCACAGACCTGTAACTTCTTCTTTAAGAGGCTCCTCTGTCCTCCACTCGTTACCTGTATTAATGGCACCTGTTTGAACTTGTTATCAGTATAAAAGACACCTGTCCACAACCTCAAACAGTCACACTCCAAACTCCACTATGGTCAAGACCAAAGAGCTGTCAAAGGACACCAGAAACAAAATTGTAGACCTGCACCAGGCTGGGAAGACTGAATCTGCAATAGGTAAGCAGCTTGGTTTGAAGAAATCAACTGTGGGAGCAATTATTAGGAAATGGAAGACATACAAGACCACTGATAATCTCCCTCAATCTGGGGCTCCACGCAAGATCTCACCCCGTGGGGTCAAAATGATCACAAGAACGGTGAGCAAAAATCCCAGAACCACACGGGGGGACCTAGTGAATGACCTGCAGAGAGCTGGGACCAAAGTAACAAAGCCTACCATCAGTAACACACTACTCCGCCAGGGACTCAAATCCTGCATTGCCAGACGTGTCCCCCTGCTTAAGCCAGTACATGTCCAGGCCCGTCTGAAGTTTGGGAGAATGTCATATGGTCAGATGAAACCAAAATAGAACTTTTTGGTAAAAACTCAACTCATCGTGTTTGGAGGACAAAGAATGCTGAGTTGCATCCAAAGAACACCATACCTACTGTGAAGCATGGGGGTGGAAACTTCATGCTTTGGGGCTGTTTTTCTGCAAAGGGACCAGGACGACTGATCCGTGTAAAGGAAAGAATGAATGGGGCCATGTATCGTGAGATTTTGAGTGAAAACCTCCTTCCATCAGCAAGGGCATTGAAGATGAAACGTGGCTGGGTCTTTTAGCATGACAATGATCCCAAACACACCTCCCGGGCAACGAAGGAGTGGCTTCGTAAGAAGCATTTCAAGGTCCTGGAGTGGCCTAGCCAGTCTCCAGATCTCAACCCCATAGAAAATCTTTGGAGGGAGTTGAAAGTCCGTGTTGCCCAGCGACAGCCCCAAAACATCACTGCTCTAGAGGAGATCTGCATGGAGGAATGGGCCAAAATACCAGCAACAGTGTGTGAAAACCTTGTGAAGACTTACAGAAAACGTTTGACCTGTGTCATTGCCAACAAAGGGTATATAACAAAGTATTGAGAAACTTTTGTTATTGACCAAATACTTATTTTCCACCATAATTTGCAAATAAATTCATAAAAAATCCTACAATGTGATTTTCTGGATTTTTTTTCTCATTTTGTCTGTCATAGTTGACATGTACCTATGATGAAAATTACAGGCCTCGCTCATCTTTTTAAGTGGGAGAACTTGCACAATTGGTGGCTGACTAAATACTTTTTTTCCCCACTGTATATGTATGTATGTATATATATATATATATATATATATATATATATATATATATATATATATATATATATATATATATATATATATATATATATATACACATACATACAGTGAGGGAAAAAAGTATTTGATCCCCTGCTGATTTTGTACATTTGCCCACTGACAAAGAAATGATCAGTCTATAATTTTAATGGTAGGTTTATTTGAACAGTGAGAGACAGAATAACAACATCCAGAAAAACACATGTCAAAAATGTTATAAATTGTAGACCTACACAAGGCTGGAATGGGCTACAAGACCATCGCTAAGCAGCTTGGTGAAAAGGTGACAACAGTTGGTGCGATTATTCGCAAATGGAAGAAACACAAAAGAACTGTCAATCTCCCTCGGCTTGGGGCTCCATGCAAGATCTTGGCATCAACTCAACTCGCCGTGTTTGGATGAGGAGAAATGCTGTCTATGACCCCAAGAACACCATCCCCACCGTCAAACATGGAGGTGGAAACATTATGCTTTGGGGGTGTTTATCTGCTAAGGGGACAGGACAACTTCACCGCATCAAAGGGACGATGGACGGGGCCATGTACCGTCAAAACTTGGGTGAGAACCTCCTTCCCTCAGCCAGGGCATTGAAAATGGGTCGTGGATGGCTATTCCAGCATGACAATGACCCAAAACACACGGCCAAGGCAACAAAGGAGTGGCTCAAGAAGAAGCACATTAAGGTCCTGGAGTGGCCTAGCCAGTCTCCAGACCATAATCCCATAGAAAATCTGTGGAGGGAGCTGAAGGTTCGAATTCCCAAACGTCAGCCTCAAAACCTTAATGACTTGGAGAAGATCTGCAAAGAGGAGTGGGACAAAATCCCTCCTGAGGTGTGTGCAAACCTGGCGGCCAACTACAAGAAACGTCTGACCTCTGTGATTGCCAACAAGGGTTTTGCCACCAAGTACCGTACTAAGTCATGTTTTGCAGAGGGGTCAAATACTTATTTCCCTATTTAAAATGCAAATCAATTCATAAAAATTTTGACATGCGTTTTTCTGGATGTTTTTGTTGTTATTCTGTCTGTCACTGTTCAAATAAACCTACCATTAAAATGATAGACTGATCATTTCTTTGTCAGTGGGCAAACGTACAAAATCAGCAGGGGATCAAATACTTTTTTCCCTCAGTGTAATTAAGTGAATAAAAGAGTACTAAAAATAAAGATCAGTGAATCAAAAATATGATACAAATGTAATGTTTTGTACACAGTGTATTTCTCTTATTTTTTATTCAAGCTCTGCCGTTTCAAATGTGGTTTTCTAAATAAATATATATTTTCAACATTCTGTGGAAAGATTGTAAGGGTTTTACTTTCAAGTAATACTACAATGGGTTCATATTTTTTCCAAACTGCAGGCCTAATCTCATTCATGTTGCTAAACGCCATAATACAATCATTGTTTATCTAATCCCTTTGACCTAATGCTTATTATACATAAAAACCCTGCTTTGGTTTCCTGTCCCCGAGGACAAACAGAACAAGAGAGAATAATGTCATATCAGCTTTTTATTTTCTAGAGGAGATGTTTTTCCTATCTGGGTCATTTCCATATCCAGATGGGCCACAAAAATATATTTCATTTCTGAGCAGATATTTTTCAACTTCGGTTCATGAAATCGTATTTTATTCAGGCAATTTATAAAGTACAAAGGGGGGGGGGGGCTTGGGCTATTGTGTAATTTCAGAACGCTGATTTTTGGTTTCGTTTATGGAATAGCTAGCATAAACTGCTGGGCTAGCCAGCTGCTTAGCATAGTGTAGTGTGTCATTGATCTAGCTACAGTCTATGAATTAAAAGCTTGCTAGATCACAAAGTAAGGTGTATGTAGATAGATGACACCACGTAGACATCGATAGCATGCAACAAAAGGTAATTTTATCTCTGCATTCTAGCATGAACGCAATAGCTAGCTAGCATGCCCGGCTAAATTTCAAGTTGAACTTCATGTTATGAGAGGAATGCATATATTTCCACGCTGATTTTTGGTTTCGTTTATGGAATAGCTAGCATAAACTGCTGGGCTAGCCAGCTGCTTAGCATAGTGTAGTGTGTCATTGATCTAGCTACAGTCTATGAATTAAAAGCTTGCTAGATCACAAAGTAAGGTGTATGTAGATAGATGACACCACGTAGACATCGATAGCATGCAACAAAAAGGTAATTTTATCTCTGCATTCTAGCATGAACGCTATAGCTAGCTAGCATGCCCGGCTAAATTTCAAGTTGAACTTCATGTTATGAGAGGAATGCATATATTTCGATCAATCGCTTAGCTCTGATTTATTCCTATAAACTAGCTATTGCCAAAAGCATGTTGACTTTCTGATTGTATTAGTCATATCTTCAGATCCTCTGTTAAGTCTTTGCTATCACTGCTATCAGCAGTACCTTGTTGTTGACCTACAAAAGCGCTCCATCTATGCCAATGTTAGATTGAAATAAAACCTTAGTGCCATGCCATAACATTACGCTGTTGTGTGCCCCTTTCATATTTTCAGCCTTAAAACGGTGCCAGAACTGGGAAATCTGATGGTCTAAAATGCCTCAAAAACTCAAGTTACACAAGAGTAGCCACTACATTGAGCTGGGGAGTTACCAGTATTGGCCAGTTCTGGTGCCAAGGGGAATCCGCCTGTACACATTTGAACAGATCCCGTTATTCTTGAAAGAAAACCCTTACATTACAGATGGATACAGAGCACACTTGACATCAAAACTCTGTTTAAAAAGGTATGTGAAATCAAGAGAATAAGCCTAGTTGTTGTAGCTTCAGTTTGAGAAATATATAGCTAGTTGTTGTGTAGCCTGGTCCCGGATCTGTACTGTCTTGCCAACTCATATGGTCCTCGTCACACCAAACAAAATGACCATAGCAGTTGGCAAGACAGCACAAACAGATCTGGAACCAGGCTAGTTGTTGACAGTGTTGTGTATTGTTTTCCACCCCTCTAGCATATTTGTGCTGTCCAATGAGACAGTCAACATATGGACTCATCTGTTGGGCTTCCTCCTGTTCTTCCTACTGGGGGTGAATGATATGTCTATTGTCCTGCCAGCTTCAGGTGCCAACAGAGAAGACTATGTCATCTACTGCATAGGACTATTCTGCTTTCAGGTGTGTGTGTGTGTGCGTGCGTTTGGGTGTGTGTGACAGAGGTCACAGCTATCTGTCTGATGTCCATGAAAATCTTTAGCTACTTTGCTTTTGTGCCTACACACCTGTAATGTTCTATTCTGCAGCTCTGTGTTTAGTACTGGTATATTACCTGTTGTGTTTCTAGGTGTGCATGCTGTGTTCAGTGGGGTATCACCTCTTTTCCTGCCACCGCTCAGAGAAGACGTGTCACCGCTGGTTGGCACTGGACTATGCTGGAATCTCTGTGGGAATCCTGGGCTGTTACATTCCAGGGGTCTTCTATGCCTTCTACTGCAACATTGTATGTTGGACAATATAATATACATTTCAGCCCATTGTTTTTATTTCACCCATGCTGGTATATACTTTTTTTTTTTTTTTGCCCATAGAAAGATCTAAAGATGTAGCCTTGTGAAACCAGACTGATCCATCTGGCTAATACCTACATAAACTGGCTCTGAAATGAAATCTCTCTCTCACTCTCTCTCTAGTTCTGGAGACAGGTGTACCTGGTGACTGTTCTAGCGTTGATATTGGCCATATTCTCGGCTCAGATCCATCCTCACTACCTCTCTAAGGAGTGGCACCACCTGCGGACCGCCATCTTCTGCTCCGTGGCTGGCTACGGGGTCATCCCAGCTGTCCACTGGGTCTGGCTCAATGGAGGCTTCAGCTCTGCTGTCGTCCAGGTGAAGCTGCAGAATTTTTATAAAAACATAAAAAGTTGATGTATTACAAAGATGACATACATACAAATATTTATAAATACAAATATTACAATGCCACAAAATATTATGCAAAGGAGTGACGTTTGTCTTACTGTATGTCCTCTCTGCAGTTGTTCCTCCCTCGTGTGATTGTGATGTATTTGATAGCTGGAGCTGCCTTCCTCTTTTACATCTCTAAAATCCCAGAACGCTGCTTCCCAGGTGAGCCTTCATGACTTCATGCTTTTGACTTCATGATTTTGACCCATTTATAAGACATTTATAACATAACATTATTTCCATTTGTTACTGTACACTGAGTGTACAAAATATTAGGAACACCTGTTCTTTCCATGACAGACTGACCAGGTGAATCCAGGTGAAAGCTATGATCCCTTATTGATGTCACCTGTTAAATCCACTTCAATCAGTGTAGATGAAGGGGAGGAGACAGGTTAAATAATGATTTTTAAGCCTTGAGACATGGATTGTGTATGTGTGCCATTCAGAGGGTGAATGAGCAAGACAAAATATTTCAGTTCCTTTGAATGGGGTATGGTAGTAGGTGCCAGGCGCACCGGTTTGAGTGTATCAAGAACTGTAACACTGCTGGGTTTTTCACGCTCAACAGTTTCCTGTGTGTATCAAGAATGGTTCACCACCCAAAGGACATCCAGCTAACTTGACACAACTGTGGGAAGCATTGGAGTCAACATGGGCCAGCATCCCTGTGGATGGCTTTCATCACCTTGTAGACTCCATGCCCTGACAAATTGAAGTGTTCTGAAGGCTAAAGGGGGTGAAACTCAATATTAGGGTGTTCCTAATGTTTTGTACACTCAGTGTATATGTCAGTCACCTTTTTTTGCCAACTTATGATTGGCCAAATAGCCTCTGTCTTCAATTTCTTTATTCCAATCTCAAAAAACCTTTGAACACAATATTTGAAGTGACCTTTTGATGACCCTGTGATGCCCTTTGACCTCCACAGGTCAGCTGAACTATCTGGGTGCCAGCCACCAGGTGTGGCATGTCCTGGTAGTGTTTATGTTCTACTGGTGGCACCAGACTGCAGTGTATATCATGAAATTCAGACACAGCCAGCCCTGCCCTCCTCTCTACACCAGCAGTGGCTAGCTGGAGCCACACAGACTAGCATCCAGCCCCCAAGCAGCCACAGCCTGTACTGTAGCCACTCAATGCAATCAAACCAGACTACAGACCTCCTATAAGCCTGTTCTACAGATGCCCCGTCAAGCACACAAGACCCATATCCAAGAACACCCACAACCGTACTGTTAAACCTTACAGGTGTCTGTAGAAAGCTTGAAATCATCTCTTTGATTTTAAGGATTGCGATTGGTGGTATGCAATCATATCTGCTTTCTGCTCACACTTCTGTAAGGATAGGTTATAAGAGAAGGAAAGACAGGTCAGTCATAGCCTGGTCGCAGGTCTGGGAAGCAAGACGGCACAAACAGATCTGGGACCAGTTTGGGTAAGTCATTAGGACACTGTACACAATACATATACCGCTACAACTGAACATTTGTCATTCTCCGATTATCTTTTTGTATTCAAGATTTATTTTTTACCAGATTTGTATCTATTATTTTGCATGTAAGCTACTGTTTGAATGTTACATGCTGTGAAATATTGAAATACTTCTCTGCTGCCTTGAGCAAATGGGACCTTACAAGGGTTATGTGCAATCTACCTACCTACTATCCTATGGAAACGGAACAAAAAAAAGATCCTCTGATCAGTTATTTTTGCATGAGTAGTTTTATCTGTATTCATCAATACTTGAATTGTTTGTGTGTTGTGTTATTGCCTCTGGCACAAACTTCATTGGGTTCTATGGTGGAGTTACTTTTATTATTAGTGGTCAACTGACCTCCTTCCTTTCACAATCCACTTGAATCTAAGGGCTGATTCAGGAACTGTTTAGAGAAATGTAACCAACTGAACATAAACCCAATGAAATAGATTAGGATAAAGAATTCCCCTCGCCTTAATCTTTTAGTGTCCCTGTTGTCACTCACGGGTGTGTGAACAACCACAGAAGAACAAAAATCTTGATGGCCAGTATTATCGACTGTATGGTTACACACCACAATAGTGTAGTAGACTCTCCATGCAACAATATACTGTACATCTCCTGCCAGTTTAATCCAGTTCCAGGTCATTTAATTAAAGGAAATGTATCCAGCAATGCAATTACATTTTGGTCACACGTTTTTAGACCGTCTCCAGCTGACATACTTAGCCTCTAGACAGATAATGATGCTCAGAACATATCATAGCCTGTAATGACTGGAAACGCAGCAAAGACTGTTTGGTTTGCCTTACTTGTAAATTCACTTTTGTTTTTAAATGATGACTTTCATTATTTTACTGTGTAATTACGGCATTATTTTACTTGGTTACTAATGTCTGTCATTTGTTACGTTGTTCAACATTTGTTTTTCATTTATGTTGGCATGGTTAATGGACCTTTACTTTTGAATGATGGCACTGACTAAAGGGATACATTATTTGAATGCATCTGTAATATGACATGTCTCTCTTTGATCACTATCAATAAATAAAGAATGCCTAAAGAAATATAATGTAATGAGAATATTATATAATTTGCCATGACATGATCATGTACTTTTACTTGTAGCTACAGTTTTCAGAAAGTGCCCTCATCCTTAAAGTTGACTATAGCCTCTTGTCTTCTCCATGCAATCAAAATGTCTTCCAGAGGATAGGCTGGATTTGGCATATGAGGATTATATTTTCTCTAATCCCATTCTACAATAGGACCTCCCAGCGCAAATTGAGGGATTATAATCTACAGCCATTGTTCTTTTCTTTCAGACACTAATTAGAATTTTGTAAGGGTTTGAGTTGTCAGAAACCTAGATTACAAATCTCCAGATTAGTCTTGCCTGAGATGACAATGACAGAGATCATGACAGAGATCATCTCTTTCCATGACAGTCAGTTGGCGAAACATTGCAGAGCAAAGAGAAAGTCATACCGCCCCAAAGATTCTAACTTCCCGTTATTGTAATGGTGAGAGGCTAGCATGTCTTGGGGGTATGATGATATTTGTGTGTCTAACTTTCTCACTCATCATTATTCACGATTAATTCAGGACTATCCGTAATTATGGTAGTATCCACATTAAAGTACAAGTGTTTAGAAACATATTCTATCCTTATTTACTGAACCAAAACATAAACGCAACATGTAAAGTGTCGGACCCATGTTTCATGAGCTGAAATGAAATATTCAAGAATTCTTCCATACGCACAAAAAGCTTATTTCTCTCTAATTTTGTGAACAAATTTGTTTAGTGTGCATTTAGTCTTTGCCAAAATAATCCATCCACCTGACAGGTGTGGCATATCAAGAAGCTGATTAAACAGCATGATCATTACACAGGTACACCTTGTGCTGGGGCAATAAAAGGCCACTCTAAAATGTGCAGTTGTCACAACACCACAGGTGTCTACCATTTTGAGGGAGCGTTCAATTGGCATGTTGAATGCAGTAATGTCCACCAGAGCTGTTGACAGAGAATGAATTAATTTCTCTACCATAAGCCGCCTCCAATGTCATTTTAGAGAGTTTGGCAGTACATCCAACAGGCCTCACAACCGCAGACCACGTGTATGGAGTCGTGTGGGCGAGTGGTTTGCTGATGTCAACGTTGTGAACAGAGTGCCTCATGGTGGCGTTGGGGTTATGGCATTAGCTATGGACAACGAACACAATTGCATTTTATTGATGGCAATTTGAATGCAGAGATACCGTGATGAGATCCTGAGGCCCATTGTCGTGCCATTCATCCGCCGCCATCACCTCATGTTTCAGCATGATAATGCACGGCCCCATGTCGCAATGATCTGTACACAATTCCTGGAAGCTGAAAATGTCCCAGTTCTTCCATGGCCTGCATACTCACCAGGCATGTCACCCATTGAGCATATTTGGGATGCTCTCAAACTACGTATACGACAGTGTGTTCCAGTTCCCGGCAATATCCAGCAACTTCGCACAGCCATTGAAGAGGAGTGGGACAACATTCCACAGGCCACAATCAACAGCCTGATCAACTCTATGCGAAGGAGATGTGTCCCGCTGCATGAGGCAAATGGTGGTCACACCAGATACTGACTGGTTTTCTGATCCATGCCCCTACCTTTTTTTAAAGGTATCTGTGACCAACAGATGCATATCTGTATTCCCAGATCATGTGAAATCCATAGATTAGGGCATAATGAATTTATTTCAATTGACTGATTTCCTTAAATGAACTGTAACTCAGTCAAATCTTTGAAATTGTTGCATGTTGCGTTTAGATTTTTGTTTAGTATACAATAAAGGTTAACGGGGGTACTATATACAAACAGTGCTGTAATTTTGAAAAATGTCACCCGATATGGATGAATATACCCTCAAATTAAAGCTGACAGTGCACCATCATTTCAAATCCAAAGGTCTGGAAAAAATAAATAAAAATAGTAACTTCCCCAATACTTTTGGAGCTCACTGAATATATCTTTATATTCCGGTCTCTCACATTGATCGTTCTAATATTTATTCATTTCTTTATTTTCTTGCATTATGTGTGTATTGTTTTTTTTGGTGCTAGGTATTACTGCACTGTTTGAGCTAGAAACACAAGCATTTCGCTGCACCTGCGATAACATCTGCAAAGGGTGCTCTCGAGCGGCTAGATGTTCTTTACCATTCGGCCATCAGATTTGCCACCAATGCTCCTTATAGGACACATCACTGCACTCTATACTCCTCTGTAAACTGGTCATCTCTGTATACCGGCGCAAGACCCGCTGGTTGATGCTTATTTATATAACCCTATTAGGCCTCACTCCCCCCTACCTGAGATACCTACTGCAGCCCTCATCCTCCACATACAACACCCGTTCTGCCAGTCACATTCTGTTTAAATGTCCCCAAAGCACACACAACCCTGGGTCGCTCCTCTTTTCAGTTCGCTGCAGCTAGCGACTGGAATGAGCTGCAAAAAAACTCAAACTGGACAATTTTATCTCCATCTCTCTACAGTCAAAGACTCAATCATGGACACTCTGACAGTTGTGGCTGCTTCGCGTGATGTATTGTTGTCTCTACCTTCTTGCCTTTGTGCTGTTGTCTGTGCACAATAATGTTTGTACCATGTTTTGTGCTGCTGCCATGTTGTGTTGCTACCATGTTGTTGTCATGTGGTGTTGCTACCATGCTGTGTTGTCATGTGTTGCTGCCATGCTATGTTGTTGTTTTAGGTCTCTCTTTCTGTAGTGTTGTGGTGTCTCTCTTGTCGTGATGTGTATTTTGTCCAATTTTTTTTTTTTTTATCCCAGCCCCTTAATTACTGACACTTGTGGCTGCGTGATGAGTTTTTGTTTTTACAATTTTGTCCTTTGTGCTGTTGTCTCTGCCTACAGTGTATTCTGAAAAGATTCAGACACTTTACTCAGTACTTTGTTGAAGCACCTTTGGCAGCGATCACAGCCTCAAGTGTTCTTGGGTATGATGCTACAAGTTTAGCATACCTGTATTTGGGGAGTTTCTCTCATTCTTCTCTGCAGATCAAACGCTCCCAAAAACACTTCAGCGAGCAGGCCTTCCTAATTGACCTGGCCCAGGTATCCTGGATGGATATAGATCTCATTCCGTCAGTAGAGGATGCCTGGTTGTTCTTTAAAAGTAATTTCCTCTCAATCTTAAATAAACATGCCCCATTCAAAAAATACAGAACTAAGAACAGATATAGCCCCTGGTTCTCCTCAGACTTGACTGCCCTTGACCAGCACAAAAACATCCTGTGGCGTACTGCATTAGCATCAAATAGCCCCCGCGATATGCAACTTTTCAGGGAAGTTAGGAACCAATATACACAAGCAGTTAGGAAAGCAAAGGCTAACTTTTTCAAACAGAAATTTGCATCCTGTAGCACTAACTCCAAAAAGTTTTGGGACACTGTAAAGTCCATGGAAAATAAGAGCACTTCCTCCCAGCTGCCCACTGCACTGAGGCTAGGAAACACTATCACCACCGATAAATTTACAATAATCGAGAATTTCAACAAGCATTTTGCTACGGCTGGCCATGCTTTCCACCTGGCTACCACTACCCCGGCCACCAGCTCTGCACCCTCCGCTGCAACTTGCCCATGCCCCCCCCGCTTCTCCTTCACACAAATCCA